TTTTTGAAACCATTAGTGAAAAGGCCAGACTTCAGGGGTATCTGAGGCAGGCTTGAAACACAAGAGTCAGGGTGGCTTCTGGGTAATACCAGATGGCTAGGCCTCAGACTGACGAAGCCTCTTGGATGAGGGGCGAAACGTTTCTTTTTTAACAATAATCCTGAAGAATGTTTTGAAACACTTTTCTGAGTAGTATTAATAATTAACACTTGCTCTGCGTGCTAGCAAAGTTCATTTCAAAAGCAACTTGGAAATCCAGATCTCCGAATACATAATAGCATAATTTTAAATACACTCCAAATAGCATTCAGACCAATTTTTCAGAGTATTCTTGATTAGAAAGACAAATCTTTGGAACCACTCATGGTATCAGGGTGAGCTAGGCATCAAAATGTAGCTCAAAAATCAGGAATCTGGAAATGTGTTTAGTTTAGTTTGACCAAATATGACCTAATCCCTAATTTGTGTGGTGGATCACAGTCTACACTGCCCTTCTCAAAGCTTTCACAGATGATGGATGCCCACACACCCCTCCAGGAGCATGTGCTCTTCATCAGTACAACGCATGTGCATTTCCAGCATGTGGATAAAAGAAAAGGAAAGCTAGTATTATTGTGCATCGGGTTTTTACAGCCCAGTTATTTGACAGCAGTTTGGAGCACGGCTTTGGTTGGCTTTAACCCTGTGACATCATGGCATGCTGCTTTATTTTACCATCCACCTTTGATCTGTGAAGGATTTCCAAAAATCGTGTCCATCCTAACAAGTTGGTAAATGTGCAATCTCAGTTCCTTGAGCCAAAAATTCTACAGTTTGGATCAGATGTTTATTTTGGCAATAAAACTTACAGATTCATAAATTTGTTAGGATGGATATTATTATTGTAGTGTGCATAGTTGGAGTCAAGGGAAAAAAACGAGGTTCACCTTTTTACAATTTCAGTGTTTTGTGTATCAGGACGTAACAAAACTGATCTGTTTTTACCAGGTTCTAAAAGTGTAAAATGTCACCTCAAGTGTACAAAAACACACCACAGGTTCCACCATGTCATCACTGTCAAAATGGAAGAGCTGTGAACAAAGAACAAGGTCCACCCCATGATCCAACTGCTTGTTGAACATCCAGCAGTGACTCAGATGTTTTCTCTGGGACTTTATCAGATCTCACAGGGTTGTGACAGTTCATTGAGTTTTGCAGACATTTGTTTCTCTCCAGCTTTCACTGGTCCCATCCCAGCAGTTCAATCAAATTTCAGGTCTGGACATTGACTGGACCATTTCAGCATCTTGATTTTTTTACTCTTTCAGACGTTTTGTTGTTTTGCTGCTGTGTTTGGGATCATTGTCCTGTTACATCATGACCCAGTTTGGTCCAAACTTCAATTGCATTATTGTTTGTATCATTGTTTTGTCTGCAGAGGGGTGTACAGTCGACCTATGACGTGCTGTGACTGCAAAACAAGCCCAAATCATTACCCCTCCACCACTGTGCTGACAGCTGGTTTATTTATTTATTATTTATTAACATTTATTTAACCAGACAAATCCCATTGAGATCACAGATCTCTTGCAAGAGAGGCCTGGGCCTGAAGACAGCCCAACATGCATGTTTTTTGATCTGTGGGAGGAAACCAGAGTACCTGGAGAAAACCCACGCAAGCACGAGAAGCACATGCAAACTCCACACAGAAAGACCCCAGGTCCAATCAGGGATTGAACCCAGGACCTTCTTGCTGTGAGGCAACAGTGCTAACCACTGAGCCGTTGTGCTGCCAGTTTAAGGTGTTTGTGCTGACATGGTTTGGTTTTCACCAAACATGACTGCATATAATGGGCAAACATTTCTTCTTTGGTATCATCTTTTCAAAGCCATTGTTCTAGAAGGGCTGTGGCTGTGTTCAGATGCAACGTTTGGTCATTGCTCTGAGCACTACACTCTGACATCCACTCCTGGGAAGATTGGCAGCTGTCCCATATGCTTTCCACTCATAAACTACTACTACTCATTCTACTACATTCTACATTCTCCTCACAGTAGAATGATGAACTTCAAACCATTAGGAAGTGACCTTTAACCTCTCCCTTCAGCAACTCGTGCTTCTTTTAGATCATTGCTGATGTCTTTCCTTCTTGGCATTGTGCTAAACACACCTGTCTGCTCCCGAGCAGAAGACTCCTAGTTATATTTCTTATGGTCACAGTTGTTGAAGTTGAGTTAATTGTATTTGATCAGCAGCACCTTGCTGATACTTTCACTTTTATGGAAGCAGCAAGAGTGGACTTAGTTTTTCACTCACAGCTTTTCTATTTCAGCTTAATTTGTTTATCAAAATGACACGGTGAAGTGTGTTGCATGGTTTTGTAACGTTATCCTTAGATTTTAATAATTTTAGAGCTTGATAAAGATCAAATAATTTTAATTATGTCCTCCTGATACATAAACCTCTAAAACTGAAAAGGGTGGTCTTGTTTCCCCCCTAACTGTATGTGTTAATATTGATTCCCTTGTTTGGGCTGTGTAGGCATGATCCTCTACAATGGCCAGAGGAAGTCCACAGGAGCTGACTTTATCTCTCTGGGACTTGTGAGCGGCCGCTTGGAGTTCAGGTCAGGGCTCTGAAGTATTTTCAGCTACATCACCAACAACAAGTGCAACATGAGGAGGGTTGTTGAGAACTATAACTTATGAAATGTGTCTTATCCCAGGTTTGACGTGGGCTCTGGAATGGCTACCATAAGGGACCCTAACTCCATAAAACTGGGAGAGTTTCACACTGTTGAGCTGCATCGAAATCTCACCCAGGGATATATAATTGTAGATGGAGGGGAGCCCATCAGTGGCACCTCACAGGTACTGTAATATCAGTGTCATGATTATATATATTAAAAAAAAAACACTTTACAAAGTACTAAATAACCGAAATCTAACAAAACTAAAGGGAAAAAATTAGTTCCCTAAAACCATAAACAAGGACATTGGCAAGAAGTAACTATATTGGATAAAATCTAAATATCAAGTTTAGATTAGATTAAATGCCAGGGAGAACAGTTGGGTATTTAATCTTACCTAAAACGTTCCAATTCTTGAGCAGTTTGTGTTTAAATGTTTAAATTAATTAAATAATTATGAGCAACTACTGTTCAGTCATGTTTAATTTTACATTCAGATTTTGAAATATCTATGAACATGAGACAGACATGACCTTTGTTTCTTTAGAATAGGACATGGCCAAACAATAAAGAACCTTTCAAACAAGCAACACAATTTTGAAATAAGTCTTAAAATTAAGAAAAAAGAAAGAAAATCATCAATATGTTTGTTCATATGTGATGACCCCAGTCATGGCTTCTTTGAGATGAAGGAAGTTTAAATTTATTCATTCATTGATATCATCAGTGCAATTTTACAAGCAGATAGTATAAAAATCTGTACATATATTTAAAAAAAAATTTAATTAAATTTCATATAAATGGAACATAAAGCAAAATTTATAATTCAAGCATGACAGGACTGAAGATGGGGCCTTGGGGAACCCCAAATGTAATCTGTTTTAAAACTAAAACTAGGAACCATCTTCTTTTCATTGGATTTTTGTCATTTAAGAACCTTTTTTTTAATCAGGGCAAGTTCCAAGGCCTTGATCTGAATGAAGAGTTGCATGTGGGTGGTTACCCCAACTACACTGTCCTTGCCAAAACTGCTGGCATTAAGACTGGGTTTGTGGGTAAGTCGTCACATAATTTACACCATCATTGAATTAATAGGACAAAGTATTTCCACGTGTAAAGAGTTGTCCTGTCTGGATTTCATGCAGGTTGTATCCGTCAGCTTGTCATTCAGGGAGAGGAGGTCATCTTTAAAGACCTGGACCGCAGCTCTACTGGTGTCACAAACTGCCCCACCTGCAAAGACCATCCATGCCAGGTTGGTATAATCTTTGTAATATGAATTTGATCATTTTCTTCAGTGTTTTTAGTACAGCATATCTAATACCGGTTAGCATGGTGGCGCAGTTTGTAGAGCAGCTGCCTCTCAGCAAGCAGGTTACCCTCGTTCAAATCCCGGTCCGGGTCCTTTCTGGGTGGAGTTTGCATGTTCTCTCTGTGCATGAGTGGGTTTTCTCCAGGTACTCAGGTTTCCTCCCACAGACCAAAAACATGCATGTTAGGCTGATTGGTAACTCTAAATTGTCCCTAGGTGAGAGTGAGAGAGTGAATGGTTGTTTGTCTCGTTTGTCTCTATGTGTCCCTGTGATGGACTGGAAACCTGTCCAGGGTGTCCCCCACCTCTCGCACAGTGACTGCTGGACATGAGCACCAGTGACCCCCGTGACCCGAAAAGAAGAAGCGGGTAAAGATAATGATGGATGGATATTTAATGCCTGTACTTCCTGTCTTTTCTTCAGAATGGAGGGAGGTGTGAGGACTCTGAAGCCAGCTTGTATAAGTGCAGCTGCTCCAGAGGATTTACAGGCAGCAACTGCCAGCATCACTCATCTCGTCACTGTCACTCAGGTACAACTGAGTTTACAAGTAATTCAGGATCACGAATATACATCATTAGGGAGTATCGTGCACATGAATAAAATAAACTATTTGAGTTTCTTGTGTTTTTTGGAACACTTACTCCTGCAGAGGCCTGCGGCCCTGATGCTACTTGCATCAATCGCCCGAGTGGCCTGGGCTACGACTGCCGCTGCCATCTAGGCAAGTTTGGAAATAAATGCATGGAAGGTAAGACAAGATGTAACTCTGTTATTTATACAAATAGTTATACTTCAATGCTCTTTCTCTCTTTTTTACTAAAAATTTTGTTAATACTTCTATATTCCATCCAACTTCATAATCTAAACCAGGGGAACTAGTGACAACTCCACTGTTTGATGGTGAGGTGTCATATATAGCTTATCCTCCTCTGACCAATGTCCATGATGATCTGCGTGTCGAGCTGGACTTCAAGCCCATGGAGAGAAACGGCCTGATGTTCTTCTGCGGTGGGAAAAAAATGAAGGTGGAGGACTTTGTGACCATTTCCATGGTGGACGGACACGTGGAGTTCAGATATGAACTGGGCACAGGTAACATTTACTTTGTGTAATTCAGAATCAGAATAAGCTTTATTATCATTTTACCGGGATACAGTGAAATTATGTTCGTACAGTTGTCCGAAAGATGTGCGGAGTGCACGTTGCTGCTTCTATCATAGCGCGGCCCCTTATTATTTATCAGAATACTTTTAGATAGAAAAGGGGGAAAGGCCATGAGGGTGGATAGTGGTATTACAATAAAAGATCTCTTCACATCTTGTTTTATCAGGACACGATTTAAGACATCAAAACTCTACCAGCAAGCACATTTATTGACACATTACATATGCATTTGATGGCAAGATGGTGAGGTTTGTCCATGAAGCACTTTCAGATAGATAGGCCATAGTCCTGATAAGATGCTGGTCAGCCGACACAGTTCTGATAAGCCTGCACAGAAGTTCAGGTGTGTGTGTGGGGGGGGGGGGGGGGGGTAGCCAAAGCTTTTTTTCCCTAGTTCCCCATGTCCCAGGAGAAATCTGAGGCCAAACGTGGGAGTCAGATTCAGAAAAGCCACAATTGTTGATTTTCTTCAGGCAGACTGTTTTTTTCTCGTCAGCCTTGAGTCCTGCTGGAACTTTCTCAGTCCAAAATGGCCAAAATGTATGGGTATTCACTCCGCTGATCTGTGTTATGAGCCTTCCTCAAGGTCGTTCCCAACATGCTGATGAGTCCTAAAGCCGCAGGTGGCCTGTGAGTCTCACAAATCGCCTCCATCTTACGGTTTAGCTCGTAAATCAGTTGATTTTGAGTCCTCATAGCACGTACCAAACACAGACTCGGAAACTTTGCCATGGCCAAAACAGCTGCCGATGTCTTCTTTAAGTTGATAAAACAGAGCCCCACTGATGCCAAAGAGCAGAACCCCTGCTATCATAAATCCAAAATATAATCGTCTTCAGCGTCCTCCTGAGACAGAACTGAAAGACACATCAGCTGATCTCTGATGTACCCTGCAGCGAGTCTCAGCCAGGCCTGAGGGTTCTCCAGGACCCTGTTGTTTTGTTGAAAAGATTTTGTCGATTTCGTTGAAAGTCCAGCTCGTCAGATCCAGATTCTCAGATTCGGGAGATGTGTACCAGGAGCTCCAAGACACAAGAGAGCAGAAGCAGGAGAAAAGGGAGAGCAGGGGGGGGGGGGGAGCAGAAGCGTCTGTCTTGAGCGAGAGCCAGAGGAGAAGAAGAAATTGCTGAGTAACGAGATTCAGATTCATTTTATTATTGCCATTGTCAATGAACAGGATTCACAGACTAGGAACTTGCTTCGGCATAAAGGTGCATATATAATATAAAAGATAAAAGAAAACATATGTACACCAATACAATACAATACAATACTCGGAAAAAAACGTGCAGATGGAGTAGTGCAGTTAAAATACAGTGATAAAGTGACCGAAGCAGAGTTATACAGTAACGGGATAATGAGTGTTCAAGAGTCCGATGGCAGAGGGGAAGAAGCTGTTCTTATGGCGGGAGGTTCTGGTCTGAATGGACCAAAGCCTCCTGCCTGAGGGGAGAGGTTCAGATTATTCATATGCAGGGTGAGAAGGGTCAGCTGTAATCCGACCTGCTCGCCGCACAGTCCTGGAGGCGTACAGGTCATGGATAGATGGAAGGCTACAGCCGATTACCTTCTCAGCAGAGCGCACAACGCGTTGCAGTCTGTCTGTCCCTGGCAGTGGCCCCGGCATACCACACCACAAGAAATTGCTGAGTAACTAGTGACCTGACATGTGCAAAGAGTACCAGGGCACCTACTGCATAATATTCCAACATACATTATCCTGCCTTTATCAGTCGCAAAAGTAATTTAAGTAATTTTTGTGAAGATCTAAACATTTTAATGAAAAAACTATGAGAATTGTAAGGAGATCAAGATTTAAATAAATCTGACTCATTGGTGTCACCATGGTAATCACACACTTGTGGCTTTCACTGCCCAACAGTACTCCTAATATGACAAACAGCCAGAAACTCAGAGTAGAATGTAAGCCTCAACCGTTGCTGTGTAAAACCTTTGTCATATTAAAATAATTTCTGACCAAAAATATGTATCAAGTTATGTATCAAATATGAATGCAGTTTAAAACACCCTTTACTTTCAGTTTTAAAGAGGACATTCTGAGCTCAGATATAATGGAAGTCAGTGAGAGTTTGGATGTGTGCACTGGACAGAAAACTATAGGTCCTATAGCAGTATTGTGGGTGTGGGACACCTACATGAAGTAACAAATGTACTGGATGTGTAAAGTTTGTGGGAGTAGAACACATCTACCTGTAAAATTTTTTAGAAAGTTTAGACATTAAACCTTTATAAACCATAAAACTTAAACTGAGATATTAAACCTTAAATATATCAGCATGACATACTTCGAGCAAAAGCACGTGATTGAACAGTGCGTTTTGATATTGTCTTTAAATGCCTTTTTTTAAAACTGTGGGAGAAGTAACTAAATGAAAATCATGAAACAGAAGAATAATGGGTTGAAAGTCAAAAGTGTGCTTTAAAGCTTATACATCGGTGCCCTTCATTAAAGCTTCAGTTGTTTTGACTTCAGTGAGTCTCTGTGCTTTTTGAATATTTGCTTCCATCTTCTTTCAGGACAGGCAGTTCTTCTCAGTCCTCAGCCGGTGTCTCTGGGTCAGTGGCACAGAGTTGTGGCCGAGCGCAACCAAAAGGCTGGTCACCTGAAGGTGGATCAGGGTCCAGTGGAAAGGAGGACATCCCCAGGAAAATCCCAAGGTTTAAATATCCACACCCCTATGTACCTGGGAGGAGTACCCAGCATGGAGGTCCTGCCCAAACCTGCCAACGTCAGCCGAATGTTCGAGGGCTGTATAGGCGAGGTGAGAAGCCTCTGCACTGAAGGAACAGATGAAAAGTTAATGAATATTTTTGCACAAAGCCCAAACATGCTGCCACCTCCTGTGTAGGTTTCCATCAACAACAAGAAGCTGGATTTGTCCTACAGCTTCACGGAGAGCAAATCCATCAGCAGATGTGTGAACAACAGTCCATGTGACTTCCGGCCCTGCCTCAATGGTGGCGAATGCTTGTCGAGTGCCGAGTACGAGTACCAGTGTCTCTGTAAGGACGGATTCGAAGGTTAGTTTTTGTAAACAACTTCCAGATGTTCTCTGGATGCTCCTGTCTTTCAGAGAGGACTTTTATTTATCCCTCATCTGATACAGCTCAGTTTATAAGTGATTAGGTGAAACTAAGTTTTCATTTTTTTAATCTAACACAAATTCAACATTTCAGGTGTTTTGGGGGGAAAATATTGTCATAGGAGTTTGGGGGGTGTGACCAGGACTCAACCTTTCACCTCTGACTCATGGCTGTACGTGTCCTGCAGGTGAACGTTGTGAGGTGGTGAAGTTTGCGTGCCAGGGTGACCTTCAGTGCCAAAACGGAGGAAGTTGTGTGAGCAGCAAGTGTGTATGTTCACCTGGGTACACAGGCTTCAGCTGCGAGGAAAGTAAGTATTACTTGGCAATAATAAAGTGTTATGATTACATGGGGAAATGTTGTTTTTTAAGTAGAAACCCGTTTATCTAAACATTCAACATGTCTGCCCCCAGTACACACGTCCCTTAGTCCATAAATCTGTCCTGTGGAGAAATAGAACAATCATCAAAGCAGGCCAGAAACACACAGCCCATGTGGCTCAAATTTTCCCTAAAGTGATATGGTCTCACACATCACTGCAGTGCATGCTGGGAGGGATCCCCTTAAATGATTACAGTAGTCCCTCGTTTATCGTGGGGGATCCGTACCCTGAAGACCCGCGATAGGTGAAAAACTGCGAAGTAGGAATAGTAGTACAAGTGGTAAGTTGTAGTTTATTTATATATACAGTGTATATATACAGGTCCTTCTCAAAAAAATAGCATATTGTGATAAAGGTCATTATTTTCCATAATGTAATGATAAAAATTAAACTTTCATATATTTCAGATTCATTGCACACCAACTGAAATATTTCAGGTCTTTAATTGTTTTAATACTGATGATTATGGCATACAGCTCATGAAAACCCAAAATGCCTGTCCCAAAAAATTAGCATATTTCATCCCACCAATGAAAGACAAGTGTTTTTAATACAAAAAACGCCAAACTTCAAATAATCATGTTCAGTTATGCACTCAATACTTGGTCGGGAATCCTTTTGCATGAATGGCTGCTTCAATGCAGCGTGGCATGGAGGCAATCAGCCTGTGGCACTGCTGAGGTGTTATGGAGGCCCAGGATGCTTCGATAGCGGCCTTAAGCTCATCCAGAGTGTTGGGTCTTGCGTCTCTCAACTTTCTCTTCACAATATCCCACAGGTTCTCTATGGGGTTCAGGTCAGGAGAGTTGGCAGGCCAATTGAGCACAGTAATACCATGGTCAGTAAACCATTTACCAGTGGTTTTGGCACTGTGAGCAGGTGCCAGGTCATGCTGAAAAATGAAATCTTCATCTCCATAAAGCTTTTCATCAGATGGAAGCATGAAATGCTCCAAAATCTCCTGATAGCTAGCTGCATTGACCCTGCCCTTGATAAAACACAGTGGATCAACACCAGCAGATGACACGACACCCCAGTGACTGTGGAAACTTGACACTGGACCTCAAGCAATGTGAATTCTGTGTCTCCTCTCTTCCTCCAGACTCTGGCACCTTGATTTCCAAAGGAAATGTAAAATTTACTGTAATCAGAGAACAACTTTGGACCACTCAGCAGCAGTCCCAGGCAAGATGCTTCTGACACACTCTTGTTCAAAAGTGGCTTGACCTGGGGAATGCGGCACCTGTAGCCCATTTCCTGCACACGCCTGTGCACGGTGGCTCTGGATGTTTCTACTCCAGACTCAGTCCACTGCTTC